TTTTTTTTTGGTCTTTGCGAGTTGTCTAAGATTGAAAGTAAATCTATCTTGTTATAAAAAGTGCTGTATTTGACTGCGTATAATATGTTTACAACATATATATATGAAACATTTGTGTTTAGGTTTATAAAAGAATGGGACAAATTAGCTATGTGGAAACAGCTTGGATTTCCACTCGAAGAAGCCACCACAATTGATATTAATGCTACTGTATCGCTGTTCACCACCCGTCCGTCACTAATGAATACATCCTTGGACACTATTCGACATTACTTACATGCAAATGCTGAACTGTCTGGTAAGGAAAAGCTCACAGCGACATCAATTGTCGGCTGGCTACAAGAAGCTGGTGCAAACCGCATCGTTACTGGATTAGGTGGACATGGAGTTGCTGGAGTATTCAGTGGTTCTAAAACAGGACCAAGAGTGATGCTACGTGCTGAGCTTGATGCTTTACCGATCACTGAAAAAGAAGATGGACGAGAGTGGCGTTCACAAAATGAGCATGTCGCTCATAGCTGTGGTCATGATGGACACATGACTATATTGCTTGGTATCGCTAAAAAACTCGTCAGCACATCTCCTGTTCGTGGCGAAGTAGTATTACTCTTTCAACCTGCCGAAGAGACTGGAGCTGGTGCGAGAGCTGTGATTGAGAGTGAAAAATTCGATACATCACTGTACCCTGATGTTGCTTACGCTCTGCATAATCAACCTGGACGTCCCTTTGGTGAGATCTCGATACGTGAAGGATCGTTTGCTTGTGCATCGCGTGGTATGATTATTAGACTACATGGTTACTGTTCCCATGCTGCTCATCCAGAACAAGGACTCAGTCCAGTTCGTGCAATGTGTCGATTGTTAGAAGCACTAGAGCAACTACCACAATCCTTACCGACATCTAAAGATCTTCGGTTGGTAACAGCAGTTCATGCCCAACTGGGTGAAGTGACATTTGGTACAACGCCTGGTGAAGCAATAGTTATGGCCACACTGCGAACAGCTACCGATGTTCTAATGCAACCGTTGGTAAAAGCTGCGCATGACCTAATCGAACGAGTAACACAAGAAGCAGGACTCACGTATGATATTGAGTTTAGAGATATATTTGCCGCAGTAATCAATGATCAACAGGCAACAACAGATGTAATTCATTGTGCACAGAAATGTGGAAAAATGTTAACATTATTAGAAGCAACCAATCGCTGGTCTGAAGATTTTGGTGTCTATTCTACTGTGTGTCGCTGTGCTATGTTTCTCTTAGGTGCAGGTGAGACGGCTCGTGTTCTTCATGATTCGGCTTACGACTTTCCGGATGCACTCATTGAGCATGGAGTGGAAATGTTTTGGGCATTGTTAAATGAGCAGCAGTTGTTTGCTGATTGAAACGGACTATAATTGATCTTAATCCTAACGCAAAAAATAATTGTGATTATGTAACTTGTAATTTTGTTAGCACATATTCTTTCATACACTTGTAACCGTTAATGCTGTGCTTTTAATTTTGTTTGTCGATTATAAAATATGATTTTAGTGAAAACAACATTGATGGATCCCTAATACAATATTCGAACTTGTAGACTTGAATTCTGACAGAGTGAGAATACGGGTGTCGATGAAGAGAACTTCACATCCACACCTTGAGTGCAGGGAAAAGACATTCCATACAATAATGTGGTCCACGAAGATAGATATACATAGTACGTTCTTTGGATATGTCATAATCTACGAGCATTTTATCATCATCATATAAGAAGTCGTGTAAATATTTTAATTTAAAAAAGTCAGAGAAATTACTTCATTCTCCCGTATTGGACGTTTTAGTGTGAGAATAGTGTCAGTGAGTTCTATTTCACAAGTTAACACTCTTTCAGTGAAAGTGTTCACAAATATATGCATATTTTGTTTCTTGCATGGCAATGAATTATAACAAGAGTGATCTATCAGAAAAAATATGCTTACATGAATGTTTTGAATAGTTTTACTTCTTAGGGTATAATAATGAAAAGACAAATTTTAGTTTTTTGTCTTGTGTACATGGTTATTACATGGATACATGCAACAATTTATTAATAAATCTTATCCATTGCATGTTCATCAACAATAATTTAATACTTTATAATCGTTTTCGAAACTTTAAAATAATACTCTTTTTCATTAATTGTAACTTTATTGGAATTTTATCTTAGTAGACTTTTATATTTTCGTTTTATTTATAGACGGACAATATATATAGCAATTATAAATGTTGTCAGCAATTTCATCAAGTTAAACTTGTCCTCAGTAAATCGTTGTTTTTAGGGTGTGGGTGTTAATCAGCTTTTAACTCAACCAACATCCACACCTACACTCACATCCCAAACTACAAAAAATTGATACTTTTCCTAGACAAGCAGAAACCAACAGAAGACGTCCAAGTTGACTAGTGTCAAATGTTCAGAATAGCGTATGGTCTAGTGTAAGATGACCTAGAGTTGATCAGGACTGGTCATCTTCACAAAAAAGTCGTGTAAATAAACATGAACCAGTCCAGAAAGTGTCCACAACATGTTATGACTAGTCTGTTTCATCTATTCATATTATCCAGACTCGTCAGTTAAACAAAAAGCAGAAACAGATCGGTGACATTAGATAGACTCGAACATTTAATCCGACCATATTAAATATTTGATTAGTTTGGGCTGTTTTATAGAATTATGTGGACTAGTGTGCAACGTTATTTCCATTGTTCATGACAACAGTAGTTTGTTTTTGAGACAGTAATAATAATCCCCATTAAGACTAGTTTGAACTTTTCAAAAAACAAAATCTCTTTTGCTTCGATCTTCTTTTTCAAACAACTTATTTAGAGTGGTTCGTATTCGAACTAGAGGTATGTGTAATATGGTGCAAGAAATTTTCAAGCATTATTTGCATTATTTCTTGTAATATCTATTTGAGAATTAGAGGCATTATAATGCAAATCAGATAGTAAGATATAAATCATTTTATTTTCATTATCAATAAGAAGAGTTTCTTGAAACGAACAATGATGTCAAGAATTGATTGAACATTTGACTCTATGTAACTTAGCAATTTTACCTTGTCTATGTCAAAAAATAGACATTGATTACATTAATTTATTACAATAAAACTGCTTTACTTTTTATATAAATGAGTGAATCGTATTTTTTTTGTACAATTATGTTTTTGAAGTATTTCTTCTGGAAATCCGTTTTTTGAAGTCCACTTTTAAAGCTTCTTTTTTTCTTCGCTTCCCTAGCATGTATCATCCTACCATAGAAAATTTTAGCCCGATAGCTTACTAGCTTGCTGAGATAAAGAGGTTGAAGGCAAGAAAATCTACAATTTTCAATGAGTTATCGTACGAAAAATGAAGTTTCTGAGAAACAGAAAAAAGAAAAAGTGAATGGTACATCCTGTTCAGCGTCTAACGGCCTACTTAAATATACCACTTGGGAATACAACGCTTATTTCTCTTTTGTTTGTCTATGGCAAAAATCCTTTTGCAGATACTTTTTCTTTTTTATGTAGAGAAAGACAAAACCTTTTCCAGCAGGTAAACGGCTATAGCTAAACACCTAGTACGCCCTGCAAAAGAAAGAGCTTGGTTCAAGTAACCAAATGTTGGAGAAAAGTTCGAGACGTCTCCTTTTTATTTTATAAAAAACCAAGGCAACTTTTTCAAAAATGGCTTTTTCAGACACTGTGTAGAGAAACATTTTGAACATTATTTTATCTTTATCTTCTGATAGACTGAACCAATCTTGTTGAAATTTATACAAAAGAGAGAACATAAAAAGTTGTGCATTTGATGAAAATTTCAGAGTGATCCACTAATGCCTTCTTAACAAATTTCACATTATACGATGAAATGTGAAGAAACATTTTTTTTCAAAAATATGTAGAGAAACGCTTCTTGCGAGATTTTCCACTTCACTCGACTTAAGAAAAAACACTTGAAGGGAGTATTATGAATTACGATATTATATTATTGATTGAACACGTAACATTAATGCTTATTGTCTTCTAACTGATGACCCATTCATTCTAGGTTCTGAGGATACTCATGTTGAGTAGAGAAAAGAGCTATGATAGAAAACAAGCACAGGTGTTTGTTAAGATTGCTAATCTTGGAAGTAATTGACAGATATAGATACACAAGTATCTTGGTCTCCTGACACGTGGTAGTAGAAAATTTTTTATCTCATACTCAGCAAATAATGGTGAATAAGATGTACAAATTAAATTTTCTCTAAAGGCACTTTCATTTTTTTTCCTTAATTGTACGACAAAAATACGATTCACGCAAATACGACAAGAATATGTTGAACCACAAAACAATAGAATTACAAAGCAGTTGTTAACATCTTATAAAAAGAGTTGCTTGTTTATGTTGTTTACAATTTCTATATTATAAAACAGACTAGGACTAATTTTATTTGAAAAATAATTTATATATCTTTAGGGATGTGGGTGTGTGTAGGTGCTGGTCTTCTGCTAACACACACTCACCTCACCCACACTCACTCCCATACCCAAACAAAAATAAGGAGTTTTTTCAGCAAAATTCGAAAAAAATCGTATTTTTTATATTTTAGTCAAAAGCTATATCTTTTGACATTATTTGCCAAATTTTTCCGTATCAATAAAAACTTCACGATGATAATTCCGTATTGTTGTTTATCAAGAAGATTGATTCGATTGATGCATCTTCTAGATGTTCAATATAATCTGAAGAACACAATCAAGTTTTGTCGTTTTCATTTCCTTGTGTAAACTTTCCATACAGTCTAGTACTCCTGATTAATTATATCTGATTTAACTGCAGATGATGTTCTTAGTACGTACTTCCTTTAATTGATTGCTAATCCTGATATAATCCTCATCAGATATCTATTCTTCTTCTAGCTCTATTTAATAGAACATATTGTTATTATTTTTTGTTTTCTTCTCATTCTGTTTCCTAGTTTACGTGTACAAACGTTTCAACATTTCTGTGTCGTAGATTTTTAGTCAAGTCAAGACGTCACTAAATATGTGAGTATGACATAATACATGGATGACAATAATAATAACAATTCTCAGTATGGAATTAATTCCATATATATGCATATATTCCACAACTATCTTTTTCACGGAGTGCCTCTCTAGTTCATTCACAAAACACATCATGCTCGAACTCATTTTTATCCGACATTAGAACTTAATGACATATTTAGTGTAATTTTCACATTGATTATCATTATATTAATTTATATTGGTTGGTCAGTCCACGTGCTCACCCTTACATCTTGGAATAGGATTTGGACTAACATTATATGGGTTTATTTGTTTTATGATACATGATGAATTAATCTATCAACGATATTCTTTCCGAAATGATAAGACATCGAATACATATTTAAAACAGATTCACCGCGAGCTCATCAACGTCATCATATTCATCCTAATAAAGCATCTAGTGAAGAATTTCGTTTACTTTTTATTGTTATTGGTAGAAACAATTGGCGAGATATGTTTTTATCACTTAATCTTTGACTGATTAATTTTTTTTTTAATTAAAATAAATAAAATGTTGCATCATTAGTAAAATTGTTTGTTATCATTCATTACTAAGGATTCATATGTAATTTTAAATTTCAGCAAATAAAGCAGATGAATTTTTGTTTCACAAAGAAATTGAGTAGCATAATCAACATTTGTCCTTTTGCGATCGAGACTACGAAGATGAGGAAAGGTGATGATTGCTGATGAATATTGGTTTCTTTTTTGTGGTTCATAATTATCAACAATGAACGATTATTAGTTCCTATCACTGAGAAGGATGTATCTTCACTACAATGGTTAGATAAAATTTGTTTTGTGTCTCGAATTTTGCCTGCTCTTTTTTGGTCTTTTTTTAGAAATGTTGATTGGGATAGTTGTTCATTATTTAAAGATAACTCTTAGGTTAACTGTGATAATGAAACAACACTCAATGGTTATGTAATTGGTGAACTCTACCGCAAACTTCTAGTGATGACAGTCCTTTTGCAACCAAGCCACCAACAAATAATATCATATCAGTTGACTGATCTTAATTTGGCAATGCTTTATCAATCAACTCGTTTAACTCTTCTAAGCAATCATGAACATTCACAATACTAAATGTTCGGTGAGTTGAATTGATAAATTAATAAATTCGATGTAGAGCTGACGTCATTCTGAAAAGATTCAATCACCTGTAAAAGTGATTCAATATTGTTCCTTTTTTTCTTCCTAAAGTAACACATTTGTCACTTCCTACTGCGTCTTCAGAAAGCATATAAATACAGTGCGAAATCCAGCAGTTTGTCTAAATCCTACTTCATTTAAAAAGATGTCAAAATTATTTATATATTGCATTCTTGTTTGGTCAATTGCTGCAGTTTTCAGTTCACCCATCAATCCACCAAAAGGTCAAGGGCGTACTGTGTTTCAGTTTGGAAGAATCATACAACATATTACTGGTCGTAATCCGTTCGATTATAATGGCTATGGCTGCCAGTAAGTGACTCTTATTTTCCTTCGAAATTACTGCAATTCACAGTTTTTATCTCGTTTTCTAGCTGTGGTCGGGGTAGTAAAGGTTCCAAGGTAGTTGATGCTGTTGATCAATGTTGTGTTGCTCATGATAATTGTTACAATAGTGCGTCGTATGATTACAATTTTGTTACAAACGATATTCAATGTACCAATACACCGGGAACAGTTGATCGTGAAGCATGTGAATGCGATAGAAGAGCAGCATTGTGCTTTCGCTCATCACCTTTTAATGAAGCTTATAAGAACTATCCAGCAAATAACTGTTAAAGTTATTCCTTGCTTTTTTGTCGTGCTTTAAATAAAAGTGAATTCTATAGAGATTTTGTATTGATTACAATAAGGAAACAGCGGATTTGTCAAACTTGGGTCATTCAGTAAAAACAACCATACAATTAGAGTGTGGGTTAAATGTTTACCCTTATCTCTCAAAGTTTAGACTGTCATAAAAGAATTTCATAAGTATTATGAAAAACATAGCAAGAAGGAACGGTGTATTTTGTATTTTTACATCTTAAAAGCCACACTGTATTTGAAAATACACGAATATAAAGTCACTTTTACTTTTTGTAACTACCCATCTGGCGCAATTGAAAATCTCCGCTTTCTGGGATGTGGGTGTGGATGTAGTAAAAGAAAAGACTCATTCACCCACACCTACACCCTTAAATCCTCACTATGGTCTACAGGGAATAGTGTCGAAAGTTTCGAATAGAAATCGTTATGTTGCTTAAAAGAACGGGATTCTGACATTGTCTGGCTTACTTGTCTACTTTTATTTTGTAATTAATGCAGGAAAGCATGAAACTATACCTATAAAGTATTCACAGATTATATTTACATATATTTTAACTGACGATACGGATTGCTTGTATGTAATCAATTCGATGTATTTATACGTTTTCTATTGAATAAGCAGCCTTAATCTGCATGGCTGAATCAATTTAATAAACTTAATGGAATATAATTGATTAGCATAATGATGAGAGGATTGTAGTGAATAGAAGCAATCAGCGTAATGATGCCGTTTCATTTCATATGGGCATTTAAATTAGTTTTCGTATAGTGAAAATGGATCAACCAACATGCTGCAGCTGCTCAAGGTTACTTCCTACTTTTCATGTTAAACTCACGCAGATCCATTTTTGTATTTAGGCGTTAGAAAAATCCAAGAATCAAGATTAGAGCAACGAAGGACGAAAGCGTAATAAGAAAGTATGATGAATTTTGTCAAATATTTCTCGCTAGCTGAGCGAACGACAAAAATTTGGCATACTTTTCATTTCTAGCTCGCATAGCTCTTCCATTTTTCTATTTAATCATTTGCTCATGTTTTTAAAGGTGAGAGTGAGGGTAAATATTCTGATTCTAAGTCAATAACAAAAACACATGAATACATAATTTGTGAAGCAATCTGAATGGCCAAAATGTACAGGTGATGAATCAAACTTGTGAATTTTAAGTTAAAATTTACTTGATAGCAATATTGACGAACATCAGTACTTTTAGCATGTCCAATAGAGATGTCACTACTAAACAGAACTATAATATTCAACTGATGAAATTTGAAACCGAAATCAGTTTTTCTGATATGACAATATCAATGCATTCATAACATTAATGTAGATGAAGATAGAACGAATAATTATTGATCATTAAACAAGCAATACAAGGAGAAAGGAAAAATGAAGAGCCTTTTTTTTCTTCTTTCCTGATACTTTGCATTGATTCTCTTGCATAGTACACCTGAGTGATCGAATATGATAAAAAGTTGCCCCACTGTATGACATCAAACTGGCTGAGTGTGTATGTGCGTAAACAAAACACAATGTATTTAGCTTTTTCAACAAAGAAATAACCATAACACCAATATTTAACGTAAACTCTCATAATATCGATCGATAAACTTGAACAATTATTCCAATACAACAAATGATTATTCTTTTACTCATCCACGTGCCAACAACAAAATTCTCATACTTTGATAACTATAACTTTCTGTTATTTAGAAAATGGTTTTTAATATTGAAAAATGCCACTTTTTATGTTTTTCAATTTGTTATCTATTTTTCTATAGGCAAATTTTATATCACTCGTCAAGATATGTAATAAGATCGAAACGCGTTGTGATAGTTATTTGTTGAACTCACCCCCATCCTCAAGATAATTTTTATAAGTAGACATGGACATATAGTTTAGACATATGACTATATATAATTAATTCTATTATCGTAAAAATTCTATGTGCAATAGTAATAAGGATTATTGTATCAATATAGATAGTAATTCCAATGTTTATCTGAAAAATTGAATTACTATATACATATCAGATATAATATCATAAATCCACCTGATGAAGTCTTAGTAAAACAGAAATAGCACCCGTTTGTCATGGAATGGCGTTATTTCTACTCACATCTGATGATTGTCTTAGTTGGCGTGAGACATGTTATGGTAGCTACACCCACATCTTCACCTTCACATCCTCACGATAGGATACTTTGTTCTACTTATGGTCCAAAAATCAAATTTCTAGTGCATAAAATGAAATTTTCAATTTTTGATCAGAATTACCCACGACGAACTCTATTTGGAAGAGAAGATTCAATCTATGGATAGATGATAGTTGAGCTAATCGTTTTCAGATGATCTTAATGCCAGAAACGTTTTTATTCAATTTATTGAGATCAAAGTGACAATATTTTTTCATTGTCAAGGCAAAGCATGATCAGTTGTTTGTTGTTCTCGCTCTCTCAGTGTCTTTCTCACTTCCATCAACGTAATTCCTAATTGATTTCGGCCCGTTCCATCTCCCCCATCTCCCCAATAAGAATCATTCGTCGTATGTTCCACTAGAAGACGATCTCCAGTTGATAACAGCAATGCTTTCAGTTTAGGATGCTGTTCAAACTTCGCCATGCATGCTTTCAACATCACACCATCTTTCACATCTGACCAATCTGAGCGTACGGCAGATTTGTAAGTTCGAACGTAGAAGAATGCCTCTCGAGGTGTGGCAAGTTGTAGAACACTTTTGTAATGATAATCATCCGAAACAAATTTTTGAGCTTGAAAATAATGTTCAGTGGTTGGCCAAGTAAATCCATCCAGTTGGATAGGAGCAAGATAAAAATTACTAAACTCACCGTATGGCTCGTTGCGACGATAGAAATGAATTGGTGCACTCGAATCAGTTGCCATGATCATATAGTAATGGAAGACGGTGGTGGATATAGTTTTCACACGTTGTTTTTTTTTGTCGAAATTCGTTTACGAAATGATTGCATTTTATAGTGACGTTTTGCGTGCTTTGCTGCTACATGACGTTAGTAATTGAGACACATTGCGAAATAACACAATAATAGCGTCACCAATCCATGTGAAATTACATGAGTAAGGCATTGCAGAGAACTAAAACGTTCTTTTTCTATGTGTCATGTCAGGAAGCGATTATGCGTCGACAAAAAGCAACCAGACTGCAGAACACATTTCATTGATGTCGTCAGAACTCAAAGGGTAGCGTTTCACATATTATAATCGAAAGACGACACTGTCATGAATGAGTTGAATATTCTTTCTTTTCTCACGTTAATAGAATGACTCACTTAAGTAGCGTGCATGTGTAGTTATTTGGCAAGAATCCGATAAATTGCATCTATCCTTCGAAATATATACAGATATATTTATCCATCGCTCCACGAAAATAAAACAGTTTGCATTTGCCTTCAAAAGCCATGAGTAATCGTGACATACAGACTGATGAAATTCTATCCTTACGATGCGTCGTATTCGTTAGAATCACTCAGATAAGCAAAAGACTACCAAAAAGACTAGTCGTTTTACTCGTCTAGATGTCATGCCATTTTTAGCTCTTGTCTCAAAAAGTCTTAGTACATGACTAGTGCGAAATTTTTGCTCGTCATCAATCCTCGCCCTGGCTGTGCTCTGAAGAGGCATCACAATACGGATTATGTGTAGTCTTATCTGCAAAAAAGACGACTCCGAGACTCATTCAAGGTTGGCAAGCTGAAGTTAAACACTGACCATTCATGTACTAGGGCTTTTTGAGGCGAAGACTAGACCTCGCTAGCTCCAATCACCTAAAATACAAAAATAGGGTGTGAGTGCCGCTATCATCTGATTCATACCCGCCACCATCACCACCCACACCCACACCCATATTTTGGCGGATCCATATCTTGGAGATAATCTGTCCAAAAATTCTGAAACTTTTTAGGTAAATTTGTCTTATTGAAATCTTGATGTGGGCAAAGTTTGAGGCCTAAATTCGAAAGTTTGATTTTATCGGAAAAGTAGAGTCCCATAGGAAACTTATAGTAAATAGTCGATATCTCAGCCAAATCCCAACTTGCGCGCATATCCTTTTAAGGTTTTTATAATCTATTCATCTTCTACTTGTAAGCAAAATTTCAGCTCAAAAGATTTTTAGCACCTGAAAAGGTTTCCTCATGAGCTGGAACGTTGTAGAAATGCGTATCTCGACAAGTTCGGATCGTTCGTTAGTGAAGATTCAGGAATATTTAGCTATTTAACTCATCATTATATATCTAGTCAATGAGATATTCAGATTAGAAATATATGTCGACCTTCTGAATATCATATTTTCAAAATAAAACTTTCAACAAATAGTCATTATTGGCTCTTCTATGTTTCCTGAAAATTTCAAACGAGTCGAACGTTATGGCAAAAAAATAACGAAGAGGAATACTCACAATTCTAATGATCTATTTCAGTAGAACCCATATGACATCTCAATAGTGACTCTATATGGTTACACCATCTAGCGGTAAATTATATTTCACAGGCTTCCATCTGGAGGCGTTGTTATAGGTGAAGAAGAATAAATAGTATGCTGTGCAATATCAACACGTTCTTTTTGTAGATTTCAACACTGACTTATGATTAATACAGTTGAAGAAGAAAAAAACTCTGAAACGTCCGTTCAGCGTACAGTTCTACTCGACATTCCTGCTCGATTACAATGGGAAAATGATCATGGTTACTGTGGTGAAACAGCTATACAATCGTTCGGTACGTATATGACTAAGTAACTGAATATATTTCTACTTTTATTCGATTTGTTCAATCCTTTCTAGGTCTCTACTATGGTGCTTGGATCTCTCAAAAACTTGTTCGTAGTATCAACAATGGCGAATATCTCTTAAGAAAAGTATCGAAGGACGACCATCGAAATCCAACGCATACATTATCTGTTCTTCATTTTACTTATGACGAATGGGACTTGGAAAATTCACCTCAACCTCAGTTTCATGATTATTGCTGTTGGATGAAGAGATCTATCATACGAGGACATCCCGTAATGTTCGTTGTCTATCTACTCTATATGCATGATAAAGACTATGATCATATTATGCCGGCGATCGGCGTTCAATTTAGAGACGAAAATCAATATGATCCAGACGATGTGCTTATCTACTACAATCTTTATCATCTGCGACAAATTGAACGAAAAATGAGTGAAAATGATTTGGCAGCGACAAGAAAAACATGTCGGAAACATTGTGGTGAAGGTGGATGCATACCACTCAATGTAAGTAAACTCTTTCGGAATGTTGATCGTTTACAATAGTATGATGCGACTTCTTCTTTTTGTGATTTTAACATACTGAGAAATTTGTAGATTGACTATGGAATCGCTGTAACAGGTATTTTGGACGAAAATCATGTGACATTACCCGTACGTCTGTCTGTGTCTGCATGGAATGAACCGAATACACACCCTGCTTACAATGAAAAACCTACCGAGATGGATGGTGTCGTCACCGTACGTAATTTAATTGTCGGAAAATCGTATGTTCTTCTTCGATATTCATCTTATGAATATGTACCAACGAAGGGTAACGTCAATGAATTTCTGTTATCGAATTTTGATGAGAAGCATGAATTTCTGGCAAACGATACGATCTATATTTATGAAGATCCAAAGAAAATCCCCTCCACGGGATCAGTTTATTATCGATGTGTTCCACAACTTGAATAATAATTCACTAGTTCTATTCTTTGTTGTTTTTTTTACATCTCGAAAGTTTGATAATAAAATCAGACATCACAGTCCATGCAAGCGGTTCTCGTATATTGTTTTGCATCTTCAAAGATAGACCTTCCGTTTTGGTTACACGTGCAATAATATTTTATTTAGTGTATATTGTAGTTTGAAGAACTTCTTTTTTCTTATCAATATAGTTCTACTCAACCAATCAAAAACTTTGCCTGACTTGATTCAATGAAGGTATTATGCTTTTAAAAGAATTGATAAGTTAGATCTTTTCTTATTTGAAATCATGGACAAAAACTAATAAGAATTATCAATGCAATACTTCCACAATATAACAAACACTTATGAAAATTTTATTTTTTGTATGATAAACAGTTTTCTATAAGTACTTTTATTTTTGAACGATACAAATGAAGAATCTGAGCATTTTGCCAAATGAATGTTAATAAATCACTTTCTGGCTCACTTAAGTAACTATAGATATGATTTATCGACGGCCAAAAACAAAAACATGGGTCTGATCGACTGGACACAAAGCTTGTGTAGAGAAATCTGATAGGATGTTTATTTCACAAGAATATTGTGAAATAACGGTCAATAGACTTAATACGAATGCGACCATATGATTATCTGTCATTGTATGAAGCTAAAAAGATGAGCAATGTGTTTTTATCTTAATTCGGTATGGTCAAGTCATACGTGTCGTCTTCATTGAAGTCTTCAGTAATGATCGACTGCGGATTTCCTCCTATGGACGAAAGTGGTTTTGTTTACACAAGAGTTTCGTTTTCGTTGCCAAAATATATAGGGGACACGACTACGAATGTACCCATGCCAGTGTCAAGAAAAATGCTTATCGTGTTGGCATTCAAGTTGACCACGACTAGAGCTAACTATGAATCGCCATTATAGTTAACATCTTATGTTCAGTACTCATTCCTCATGCAGAACTTTCAAATTGACTAGTATCTGTTATAGCAAATTTCTTCCGATGTCTTCTCATGTTTCTTTATTCTCTCGTTTCATTTATTGGCTGTATAGATTTAGTTCGGGTTGTCTTGGTTTCATAGAGTGTGCGGTGCGTGTGTACACTTTCTCTGAGCATCAAACCTCACGATTTGTGGGAGTTTTTCATCTTTACCCCATCTGGATTGTACTGAAAAGCTTGTATATCAAAAATATATCAAGTTTTCGATGGTATCTTGTATTTTCACGCACTCATGCAAATATTTGTTGAAATAAAACGTGTCCTAATACGTGTCAACTTCGATTTAAAAGAAATAAATCTCATTTTATCTCAAGTTTGAACAGAGACGCCATCAATATATTATCATAAAGGTTTTAGGCTAACTTGACGAATGGTGAATAATTATTTCAAACGACTAAAGTCAGATTTCAATAAGTCAACGAGCAATCAGAAAATTTGACTCTGCTGATATCTGTACGATTCTCATTCAGTATATATAAATTCTTTTTCGATTTAATATATATGAATCGACACAAGAATGTTTCTCCACACTGAGAAATAAGAATTAACTTTGCACGAGGTCGACAAGTCCAGTGATAGATAGGATGCTGAAAAGTTTTGTTTTTCAGGCAAAATGGACTATGTACTTCAAATTTTACATAAAGATAAATTATTTTTGTTTATGAGTATATCATACACCTGTTCTTTTTTGCGTCTTATCTTTCTTTGATTATCATGATGCAAAAGAAGAAAGGACATTTTGAAAAGAATTGTAGCTTTTTGGCTCTGCCGTCGATCTTACACGATGTTCACTGATCCTAAACTCGTCTTCCCTACGCCGAAACCCGTCTATGTACTCTATCGTCGACGATTCTATGTGCTCGGTGTCTTTTCCTTTCTTGCTTTCAACCAGTGTGCGTTTTGGCTCACCTTCTCCCCTGTCTCGCCGAGTACTCAAGCCTACTATAAAATTTCGTCGGCCACCGTTGATCTTCTCCTTAATTGGGGACCCATCATATTCATTCCGTGCCTCCCCTTTACCTATTTTCTTCTCAATAGACGAAATGGTCTTCGACGCTCCGTCATCCTTCTAGCCATCGCCTGTTTCGTGGCCACTCTTCTTCGAATCATACCTTCAATCATTACCTCTCCCTCGAGTCCACACTTTAAAACTATATCACTTCCCTTTCTCCATGCTGGTCAAATTATAAACGCCGCTTGTGGTCCTTTAGTAATGGCGCCTGTTTCTCAATTATCATGTCTTTGGTTTGGTCCCAGTGAAAGAACGCGAGCTACCACTTTGGCTATTATGGCAAACATTTTCGGTGGTACTATCAGCTTTCTCGTCAATCCTGCGATCGTCTTTCGTCCTACGAATGTGCCCTACCTACTTTATTTTCATCTTGGTCTGGCATTCGTCGCTGGACTTCTTGCACTGATCTATTTTCCTGCTCAACCACCCACGGCTCCATCAGTCGCAGCCGAACTGCTCATGCGGGGAGATGAGCATAGACCCAGTTCAGAATTGAAAACCATCAAGAACGACCTAAAACAGTGCATGACTAATCCTTCATTTGTTCTGCTTTCGACAGCGGGTGGTATCATGAGTGGAACATTTGCAGTGTGGACTGGATTGTTCGCCACGATTCTTGCTCCCGAAAACTATTCCGAGAAACAGGCTGGTGAGTTTAACACTTTTTGTTATTCTAGACATCACTGGGAAGGTGCCGAATAATGGCATTTAAAATTCTGATGAAATTTTATATTCGTCTTTACTACATAAATGCTGGTTCTTAACAATGGATCTGTGAATAATCTGATAGTGCGAGTCGTTTACAGCTGTCAAAGCAGGAGAGTTTGATTAATAAACTAGCTCGAAGAGAAAGATTTGCACAATCGTAACCAAATTGTTATCTTTCTGAATAAGCACTCCTTTTGAGAAATAAATTTCAGATAGATCTAGATTGGTTATTTACGCTTGGTTAAATTTTGATGTCCTTTGGAGATGATCATAAATTGAGTTGGGCCAACAAAAATGATTTGAACTGCTAATTTTGTTCTATATGGGACATCGAAATTAGACAAACATTCTTCTTTATTTGATGATATTAATATAGAACTAATAATGTTCGGTCTATCTTTCTACTAGGCTGGTTCGGTTTTGGCTGCTCAATGGCGGGTATTGTTGGTGCTTTGTTCCTGGGAGCCTTGGCCGACACACCTCGATTTCGACGTTCTCTCAAAATGTTCATTCTTATTTGCCTCGTCGGCTGTTTTATCTCGGTGTTTTTCGTTCAATTGTCTGTTCACACGGTTTTCTATGATGCTCCCATTATTCGCTCGACACCAGCCACCATCGGTTTGACTATCACCTGTGCAGGTTTATTTCAAGGAGCGGCGTCACCATTGATCTATGAGAGTTTGGCCGAGATTATGTTTCCTCTGCCCGAATCTCTCTCCGCCTCCATTCTCGTGCAGTGGAACAATGTTGCCTGTGTCATCCTTCTTTTCATCGCTTCCACGCACTACAAGTTGATCAACTTGCTCGTTCTCATCGTTGTCGGACTATCTATTATAATGGCCGCATTCGCTCGAGTTACATATAAACGGCGAGACGAAGACGAGCGAAAGAGAACATTGAGGGCCCTTAGCTTCGAGCTGGGCAGAAGCACCTCTGACTCAAATCCAGTTCAATATTAACTTACCTGAGCGTTCAAAAATGATTAGATTCCAATCGCTCTGACTCACCTCGATTCCATGTATTGACAAATAGACAACAGATTTTAAGATTTCATGAGATTTCAAAACTAAAATCTTTGCTATTTTCCCTCGTATTCATAAGGAGAAATCGCGATCTCTGTTGAAAAAGAGTGTTAATTAATTTCATAGAATGCTGTCAAGGACAAAGGAGTAGCATGACAAAATGTTCATCACGATCAATGGCAGAAATCACAAGACCACCTTGTACAGATTTAAAAAAGATTTCTCAGACTTTGAAATTTCATATCTAGTCAAAAGAAAAAAACCCCTTGGAAATCTGAAAGTTCGAGCTTCAAAAACAAAAGAAATTGCATTAAAAATTAGGGTATGGGTGTGGGGTGTAGATATGGATATGGGCAAGTGTGGGTGTCGGTGTGTGCTTCAATTTACATCTTCCGACGTCATCCACAATCATAGCCACAGCCACAACCACACCCCAAAATTTTTCATTATCATTATTTTTTAAGTATTAATTCGAAGTTTGATTTCTAAGCATAGAAGTCTAGAAAGATCAATGAATATGTTATTTTTATTTTTCAATATTTCATTTTAGCTCGTGGATAATTTGGAAAACGGAAAGATATGTTCAGATAATATACAATATTTGTATACATCTGTAACACGTTGTAATCGATGTGTAAGACGTTGAGTGAAACTTCAAATTCAGAATATAATATGATACGTAACAACTTCTTCAAGAAAACCAGATGAAGCAGTTGCTAGTCTAAAGATGGTTTCAAAATGTATTAGGATTCTTTGTCAGTAATCAGAGAAGAAAAAAATAATAATTTATTATTTTTCTGAAGAAATAAAACTTTTGAATTCAAGCATAAGTTTTGATGGCTCAGCTTTAGCTGTTAGTTCAACAAATACTTCTCGTTCCGATAAAATATTAGTTTGACTAATTTGTAATATATTGATTTGTTCACGAATTGTTTTTCCATTAATAGGTAGTCGATAAAGATTTTCAATTAAAAAATATATATCTTCAGGATAAAGTAGATCTTTTTCATTGTTAATTGTTTCTTTAGATAAATGTTTTTCTTCTCTATAATCTCTTATCATTTGTGGGTGTGAGTGTGTGGCTATGGCTGTGAGGAAGACAATAATACCCACATCCACACCGCCACGCACCCACACAGCTACAGCCACACCCACATCCACACCCACGCGCCTTTGATCAAAACCGTTTCTCCTGTAAATGTGAGAAAATACACGACATGCTTATAATCGTTTGGTTTACGAAAAGTTATAAATGCTTTACCTTTAATTATACAACATCCGTATCGGAACGCATTCGTAGGTTCAGCCTAATTTTGGACTAATGCCTGAGCAGATTTGTCACAGGATGCCGAAATAAGATATATTGGAATAATTTCTTCATGTTGAGAACCGAATTCGATAAGCAGACCATTTTCAAGTCGTTTCAATTGACGAACAATTATTTGTAAAATAACTTGCATTTGTGAACGAGATGGCCTATGACCAGTAAATGCAGTAGCAGCAACAACTAAATTATGTTGTTTAAATTGTTGAGCACAAGGCAATTTATTTAAGGCCAGTGTAAACATCCATAAAGATTTACTTGATAATTTAGCTATCTGGACTCCATCCACATATAAAGTTAATGTTAAAAATCGATCTGTTTCTTTTTTTTGAATTTGCTTGTATCGATCACCATCTGTAATATCCATTAATACATCGGATTGAGATTTTTGTTTGATGAATGAAAAATTTGAATTAATAATAACTGGACGTAATTGATCAGCAAGTGGAAGAATAAGAAGATCTGTAGGGTTTTTTTTCGTAGCATTTATTATGTGGACATTTAATAGTTAGACAATGTGTTTGTTTGTCCGAACGTTTATTACATTCAGTGCAGATGGTGTATTCTTTTTCTGTTGTTTCAATATCATCGGAACCTAATAAACTGTTGATAGCGACAAAGGATGTGAGTACATTGTCAATCTTAAGTGCGATACGTAGTTGACAAAGATTGTCTATTACAAGCACGTATTAAATGATGACGATGCATAATTTGAATGAGTGTAACACCTAAATGAACAGATGTTGGTGATAAGTCATTGTACTCAACATATCTCAATAAACTAAGAGATGAAGAAAATAATAATGTTGATGATATAGAACTTCACCTGATGTTTTTTAGATTTTCATGTTCTGTGCTATGTACAGTAAAATACTCGCTTTCACACGATTTAATTGAATATCCATCTTCAATATCATCACATTGATTATTACCAACACATTTTTCCAATTCATTTTGAGCATTGATACAGAGCGAAGAAGACTCACTCATAACATAATTTTCGGCAAGTTCTTTAATATTATCATTATCATCAAAATTATTAGTATTACATGTTGAAGAACCTTGAGCATCATCTCCAAATGTAAAACGAACTGAGTCATTGTTTTCTGTTTGTTGATAATCAACAAAATTATTAAATGCTGCCGATGATCGAACGCGTTGCTTGTAAAAAGCCGACCGGCACTTCAATGCTTTCATTCTGGAAAAACGTATAATATATTTCATGTCTGCAAAATTATCAAACACAACGGTGATGGAATAAAGAACAAAAGATGATACAACAAACTAACGGGTGTCCCATAATGAATGGCCAGTTGTTGTATTTCTTTTTTTTATCGTCTAATACGCCTATTTTAAAAAGAAAATATGCTACAAGGTGGATCGTGACAAGCTCTACAATTTACCTAAGGCCACTTATTTTATAGTTGGACTTTTTGCTTTTAAAATGGACAAAACTTTGAGTGGTCAAATTTCGATCATGCGAAAAATGATAATTTCTTCATATGTGACCAATTTGTTTGTTATTTCTTCGATTATAGCATTGTGTTAAAGGCCATAACTAATGGCTGATTTTAGACCAATCAATATGTATTTCAAATGATGCTTTTTCCTCATTCTGATGTTACTTGTGCGAGATACATAAGTATTGCATAACAACAAACCACAACTGTACAAGTGCTTCTCTTTAATAAAAAGAAATTGTGATATAGTGACTATGTAGTCATGTGACTGTCCACGTGTAAATAAACTAGCTCTTCTAAATAGTAGTTTCTACTCGACATCGAACTCGGCCTGAAGGCATAACAGAAATGAAATCCAAAGATCTTCGACAAGTGGTTATGCGAATGATTTATGATGATATGTTATCGTTGCAAATTGCTAAACAATTGCGAAACGACATTAGCGGAAGGACGATTAGACGATGGCAAAAATTATACAAAGAAATAGATGAAGTTAATTTTAAAAAATCCACTGGCACACCTAGAGTTGTGAGAACAAAAGATCTTATACACAAGGTGAAACAACGATTCGTTCAACATGGTCACCGAAGTGTAAGAATATTAGCTAGATCGTTTGGTGTTTCTCGACAAACAATGCATCGCATCATTAAGGACGATCTTCGTTTACATGCGTATCGCATTATAACTCAACCAAAATTAACTGATGAACATAAAAAACGAAGAATGTCTTTTGCTTATTGAATGCGAAAATCATTAAGAAAATCAGAACATAGTAAAATTTCAGTTATTGATGAAAAATATTCCTCGTTAGAAGAGATATTCAATCGTTAAAATGAACGCGTTTATGCTGCCAGTCGACAAGAAGCAAATGAGCAATGAGGCATACATGAAAAGACGAACTATCCAAAAAAGATTATGGTATGGATAGGTGCATGTAAACATGGTCTTACATCTCCGATTATTTTAAAACTTGATGAAACATTAACGCATGAGAGTTATATTAATGTTGTTCTTCCACATGCAAAATCTGAAGGTGAGCGGTTGCTAGATAATGATTTTATCTACCAACAAGACAATGCCAGGTCGCATACACACATGAGGAATCGCTAGCATGGTGTGAAGAAAATTTCATGAATGTTATAGACAGTTACAGATAGCCACCAAGCAATCCAGATCTTAATGTTTTGGATTACTACGTGTGGGATGCAATTAATAATAATATTCAATGGAATAAAGTTAAAAACTATGATATATTAATTGATGAAATAAGAAAAGCAATTCATCGTGTACCATTAAGTGATCTTGCTCGTAGCGTCGAAAAATGGTCGTATAGAATTTTGTCCATTTTAAAAACAGAAGGTGCATATATTAAATAAACTGTTGTATTGTAAATTGTAGAGCTTTTCACGATATATCCTGTAGTGTATTTTGTTTTTGTTTTTAATAAAATATATTAAGTGATAAAAACAGAAATCAGGAAAAACGAAGTCGTCACATATAAAGAAATTATCATTTTTCGCACGGTCGAAATTTGACCACTCAAAGTTTTGTCCATTTTAAAAGCAAAAAGTCTAACTATAAAATAAGTGGCCTTAGGTAAATTGTAGAGCTTGTCACGATGCATTTTGTAGCATATTTTCTTTTTAAAATAGAAGTATTAGACGATAAAAAGAAGAAATACAAAAACTGGCCATTCATTATGGGACACCCGTTATGTATCCAAAGAAGAAGAACAAAGGAAAAAAAGAAAGGTAACACGACAGAATAAGTGACCATAGATGTCATAACACAAAGTATCAACAGTTGTAAAAATAAAATATCTACGAACTGAAAAGAATTGTACAGAAAGACGTCTTGGAGTATGTTCTTTCCAACTACGCAACCCCGAGTTCAATAACCTTAGTCGATTAAAAGTTATTCAAAAAATGGTTACGACCATTTATCTCTGAAATGGACAATAGTTTGAATTCAGTACTACTTATAGTGTGGTAAAGTTGACAACATTGTGGAATAGAAAATGAACATGATCATTATGTATCATATTGCAATACGTATAAAATAATTTTATCTCGTTCTACTTGTAAGTGGTAGAATATATCTTATTCATGCTATAGAGGTTGTTATTGCATATAGAAGTAGAAATAAGCACACACTGCTCAGAATAAGAAGCTACTTATTAGGGAGAGAGAAGTTCACATAAGAAGATTTTACTGTAATTGCTAGTCGTGTCCATCACTGTGACTGCTATGAATTCAGCATTCTTCCTCTACTTAATACATCAGAAAATAGAGAATGTGCACAGTCATTTGGTTGAATCCTTTGAGTGTTACTAGCTATAATTCGAACAATTTTCTTCTTATTCGGTTTCTTTATTTTATCAAAGAGAAATTCCAATACAATATGAGAATAATTTTAACTGAAGAAAAAAAGCAATTTCCAATGATGATCATGTTGAAGGCGTGGCGGCCAAGCGTCTTTGGTATTCCTCATTTCTCTTCTTGTTGTGCGTCTCATGGTCAACCATTCCTTTGGCAAAACCCCGCTGAACTATAGGGATGTTGCCATCAGCTCGTTTATTCACGTTTTGTGCTTCAGTGAGTCGTGCTTCTTCGCTTTCCAGGATGAGGAAACGGCCCATGGTGGAGGTAAACTTGGTAATTATTTTTGTGGTCGCCAGATTAAAAAGATATGCCACACGGGAGAATAAATCTGTCGTTTGATCCATATCACCCACAAACCAGACGATTCTGTTTCTGTCGTCGATGAACTATAATTGACAGATTATGAAGAGATAATGAGTTAGAAAAAGATATATGCTACCTTCCCTGCTCGAGTAGCCACAAGAGCGAGCAAGTTGGACTGTTGAGCCATCTGATTCCATATGGCAGTCAATGATTTCAAATGGGCAACAATGTTCGATACAGCTGCTGCATGATTGATGTCTAAAGGTGACTTGGTTGATTGTGTGGAAGTCGACGATGATGATGATGGCTGCACCGCTCGAAGCAGTTCGTCAAAGAAACCGGTAACTTCTCCCAACTCCTTAGAGACATCGTCAGCAGCTGAAGTCACATCCTTGGCACTTCTGGCGATACTATCGAGCGTGCTTGGAAGCAAGATTTGTCTTTCCTGCATCGTCGCCTCAAACAGTATCTTCAGAGCTGTGCTCAACTCATCAGATACTTGGTTCATGATCATCTCCACACGAGACATGCTCCTCTCAGCTGTTCTGAAAGCTTGATCAACAACATTCACTGCTTGAGTCAAGGTGGCCCGATAGGACGAGGGATATTTGATGTAGGTATAAGGCCGAGATGTGTCAAGTGTGTAATCTCGACGCGACATCACGATGCATACGTGCGAGAGCTCAGAGATTATCTGTAATGGCTTGATCACAAGATCTTCCCATGCATTGATTCTCATAGGAGATGTTGATGAGCTTGGCATTACAGTACTGCTCTGTGAGCAGGCAAGACTAGCGATGGCGCTAAGCACGATAAATACGGCAAACATTGTTCTCCTTGATATTGTAAATCGCAATACCTGAATGAAGAAAGATAAGAAAAAACGCGAAATATATACGGCTTACAACAGGTGTTCGTTTTCTTAGTGCTTTTATTTTCTTTCATAGTTTTGATCCAGCCCACATAGGGTATCGTTTTAACGAGGGCAAAGATTACATTTTAAACGTATTTTTTTTTACTGAGAATATACGTGAGCGAAGTAATGAATCGCTTCCGTTAAACGTCAAGGGACCTTGATCAGGCATTTAGTGGCTTTACTCAAGGTTGCTTGACGTCGAGAGAAAAGGGTGTAAGTGTTAGACCCGGATCCGACCCGGACCCGGTCGCTTAAATTTTTTGGATTCAAGCACGATGATAAATCAGTTTCGATAATATATTTAAGTCTTTTGTAGCTTTTTTGTATATTTTCTAAATACATTCAATTTTTTTTCTTCATGAAACGAACAAAATTTTGAAAAAATTCACAATACATTGTATGCATCAAAGTTTTCTTCAGATCTGGGCCCGACCCGGACCCGATCACAAAATAATTACAGACCCCGAATCCGACCCGGACCCGGCCAAAACGAAATTTTTAGACCCGAACGCGGACCCGAGCGGGTCCGGATCGGGTACGGGTTCGGATGCTACCCGACGGGCTCTAGTGGGTGTGGATATGGGTGTGTGGATGTAGATGGAGCGTGTGGTATGGGTGTGAGTGTGAGTGCGGGTGTGAGTGCGGGCGTGGGTGCGGTGTGGATGTCCGCATCCTTAAGCACACCCACATCCACACCCACACTGTCTTTCCTCCACACCTCTTGTAAATTCTTGCATAACATTAGTGCATGTAATAAAAACTTCTTTTTCTTTTTCGCGAAGTCTTACAGGCGATAAAAACAAGGACAAGTGAGGAGTGGGTGTGGGTGTGAGTCGGTGGGTGATTGGGTATGGATCTTAATCTCTTCTTCATCCATATCCACCCAACCAGATCCCACAACCCACATCCATACCCATGCCCTCATTGATTGACGAAGGAAAAAGTCTACTCTTTTAAGAGAAATGATTCGAAATAACAGACTAAACAATCATTAAGAAACAAAATACCTCGATATTTTAGCTTTGCAAACATTTTTTCAGAGAAAAGAAATGCTAATCAATAAAAAATATTGAAGAAACCCATAGTAGTGGACATGGCTATGAGTTTGAGTGTGGTTAGTGCAAAAAATAAGTCTAACCACAACACCTACACCCATATTACAATGCAGAAAACGATGAAATATATGTTCGTTGTAATCGGAAAAGAAACAGTTCTTCTGACGTATGTATACAAAAAAAATGAGTGAACAAAGATAAAACTTCACTTCTTTCTGTTTCTACTGATTCTTCTCTATTAGTCAGATTGTTGTTGTTTGAATACTTCAAGATTGTTCATGTGAAGCAAAGTCTGAGGGTGGTCTGGTGGTAGGGCCTGTCGATCAATATCGAGTGCCTTTTGAGCATATTTAATAGCTTTTGCATGGGATCCCATGTGATGCATTGTATTAGCAATAGTACCGTAGATACTTGCTAAAGATGGATGAATCGCTGGAAAAATTTTCATACGAATCTTTAGTGATTCTTCGCATTTTTCTAGAGCTTCCTCATATTTGCCTTGATCATCGAGAATCGTAGCTATATTGGCGTGCAATGTGGCCACTAGTTCTTCATTGTTATTTCCTTGAGCATTGCAGGCTTCGATTGCTGTCTGAAAATATTCAATGGCTCGGTCCATTTTCTTCTGTTTGTAATAAAGAGTTGCAATATTATTGTATGTTGTCGCTTTGTCAGTTGTACTATCAGATCCTTCTGTTCCCTTAAGTTCAAGTGACTTTTGGTAATAAGCTAGTGCTTCGCGATACTGTTCCAATTCTCCTTTAACCAATGCAAGATTGTTGAATAAGACTGAACGACGTTGCCATGTGGTCTCAGTTTCGAGCGCCATCAGATAGAAATATTCAGATTTTCTCCATGCTGCTACTTGATGCATTAGCTTAGCAAAACTTAGGCAAGTATTTCTGTCTGCCATAGCCTGTTTGAAATGTTCTCTCAATTCATTGAGTCGCTCGTCCTGTTCGTCTGTCAGTGTCAAAGGGATGACCCATATTCCATGAGATAAGCATTTTAATGAACCAATACGAAATATCGATCCCATGGAAAAGAGCCACTCTTGTTCTGTCTTATATGCACTAAGATCAGTTATGTTGGCCACAGGAACCACCGTATTCTTATCGACTGTAATTTCCATCAGAACACTCACTTTCTTTCTATCATGAAGAGCTTCACGAGCAAAGCGAAGGCCTATTTCACGGTCCGCACTAGTAGAAAGAAAATTCGAGATGGATAAAAGTCCACCTTCATTCATACGAATTCGATCAAAATCTGCTTTGTCCATTCCTTGTCCACGAAATAGTTTCTTTTGATCAATACACTCCTTTTTTTGTTGTGCAGCGATTTGTTCATGGAGGTGACGAATAAATACTCGCAGAAGATAAAGTATATCGTACTGATGAGTGCGAAGAGCTTTATTCAACATACGATAAAGAAATGATTCCTGGCTGTACCACCAGACGGCAGAATGAGAAGAGTACTTTTGTTTAAGTGTTTTGAGAAATAATTGCTCTCGAGGATTTTCTCGGTATTGCTTTTCACAAAATTCATACATATCTTTCATGTTCTCATCCGTTACTGCCAAGACAATATCTCGAAACAACTGGTCGTACATAAACATAGCTTCTTGTTGGTTTGTCTTGGATGTAGTGTTTGACAATAATCGTTCCATCACTTCAAATCCGAAAAGAGTACGATCGAGTTTTTTCACATCCTTGTCCAGTTGTTCACACAGCGACAGTATCGTAGTGTAAATACCGCGAATTTCTGGATATTGACTAATCCAAGTTTCATCGTTTCTCTTATCTGGAGAGAAAACATATATTGACTCCAGCTGGTTCTCGTCGTGTATACTTGAAACAAATTTTTCTCCAACTATTCCTGAGACAATAACAAAAATCTTTTCGTCTTTGATAGTAGACATAAAAGTACGACATTCTTCCGGATCCAGAAATATTTTGACTGAGTTCACAACTTGTTGCAACTGTCTTTTTGACTTTTGTCTATCCTTAACCTTGCCCATTGGATGATCCAACCAGACAACAACAAAGTTTTCTACGTGTTCTACTTGTGGTTGTGGTTTTTCAGGTTTCGACTTTGTAGATTGTCGCATAGGCAGTATGAGCAACTTGAAACCTGTCGAAACAGACATTAAATTAAAACTAAAATAATCTGGCAGCTTTCCAGTAAAATTACAGCATTTTTTTACGAAGTGAATGGACTCTTTTTTTCAGGCATTTTTAGGGATCTCATGAACTTTTCGTCACCAATTGTGCTGAAACTTGGTCAAGTAGCTGTTTGTGTAAATTTGCAAAAAGTGGCTGAATCTCGACTCTTGGTTGCGTTACAACCGTCTTCGGCAGTTCTCCTTTTCTAAGCATGTGTAGCAAATGGTAGTGACTTCTCATACTCATTCTCTCTTTTGTTTCATATTACAATTTTATGAAATGTCAGAAAAAAAAGATCACAACCTAAATGTTTTGATACTTGAAAATAGTTGAAATGAACTTTAAAAAAGTTTGTGGGCTCTCTTCTACTTGAACAAAAGACAACAAAGGAATCGCAGGGCCAACTTCATCAACCGCATCTTTGTAATAATGTCTCAAAGATAAAAGTTTGCAAGAACTAGCCCATCAGTTATAGCTACCTCGGTTTCTAAGAATCATTCAATTTTCCAAATAAATTATATATGATTTGTAAATAAAATCTAATTTTCTATACGTAATGTGGATTGATTGCTGGTTAAAGGGTAGATGGGGTTTTATTGAAATAAAAGAGAAACATTCAAGATTCTTCTCGATCTCCAAAGGAGGACCCCAGGATTCATGCTTGACCTCCGCCATCTGTATTACTTATCACAGCGATATGTGGATCTTCCTAGAAAGTACTCTTCCTAACTTTTTTGCTGACGATCTAGCATGTGTTGTGGGAAGTATGATGGGAACCAAGTACTCACAGCAATGTCTCGACCTGGAGGCTAAACTCAAGAAATTGTTTGAGTACCTTGAGTATTGCGCCACCTTATCTGTACAACCGATAAACTATGAAAAAACCGAGCTACTATGGTCAGCACGCGCTGTTGGTAACCCTAGTTTTAATATCACAACAGACGATCATAAAATCGCTTGGGTAAAGAACTTTAGATATCGCGGTTACCACATATCGTGCAAACTTAGTTGGAACAGGATGTTTTTCTTGTACCAAAGTAAGATTAGACAAAGAATAGCCATAG